CACAAATGCCACGTAGCTGCCAGGAAACCTGCAAGCTCTTTCACATGGTGTGGGCTATCCAAATGCACCATTTAAAAAATTGTGCTAAGTATTAAAAGCTGTGACAAGCAAAGACTGCTGTACAGTTCCCTTGACCAGAAAAATTATTAGAAAGTCCCCCATGGGTTTATGAGGAAGACACTGTGCAGGGCAGCTTTACTTGAGGACTTTGTGCCTACACTGCTTTGTATGTTACCAGGAAAGAAATATGCTCCCCAAGACAGTTTTTTATTAGCATTTTATTGCAAATTTGGCATAATGAAAGTTAAATTTTAAAAGAATAAAGGGCTAAAGTGCTATTAAAATATGATGCTGTGTTCTGTCGGTAATAAATTCCAACTGTTGCGAGTCTTTCTGACCTTCAAGTTTTTTTATCAGGTTATAAAATGTAGTCAAATACGCTAGTATGTAGTAGTCAAATAGTACAGTGTATGAGGGTCTTGTTTCTGGCTGTGGACTTGAAGTGACCAAGTCTCCAAGATGATTCACTTCTGTGTGAGGTCTAGGAAAACCAGAGTGCAACCAGGATGCTTTCTTTGCTACGGTTCATGCAGTGATCCATGGTGCTCGAAAGTTGTAGATAGTGATTTAGCATCTCCCATGTTGTTGGGATGTCAGAGCAGCTGAAATGCCCTGTTTTGGGAAGTGTGTTTATGGGGAGGAACTGCTACGTGGCCTTCTTGGAAAGAGGTGCGTGGCCTCCCTCCTAGAGATGTTGGGCATGTGAGGGCTAATCAAATGAGTAACAGAAACAGCAGGCAGAAACTGTGTGGGAGGCATTTGACTAGGCTACCGTCTTATCTCAAAGCATTTCATTGTAGTGTTGTGACTGTGTTTTCCCCTCCCACACTGCTCTGCATCTCCTGTTTGGGTAATACTTTAAAAAGTTGTATTTATTCAACAAATTTCAGATTAGTTTCGTTGTCGACCTACCTAAAAATACTGGAAAACACCATCCCTTTCTAATCAAAAATTGTCCAATAAACACAAACAGTAAATCTGTTCTGAGATGTTATGCCTTTATTTTCAAGATTGGAGTTGGTTAAAGAGCTAGTTGCTGCCTTGGCTTCCTTTCATGCATTGCAGCATAATGAAACTATTCAGAAAAATGTTAGTGACTATACAGGTAAGAGGTTGGCATAGCAGTTATAGCAGTTGACTAATTTCTAATAAAATATAGAAGATGTTAGTGTTTATAGTTGATATTGCTAAAGGCAGCACTGCCCTGGCTGGCTCCTTTGTTACAATTGTCCTTCCAGCACTGGACCCACAGTCTTTAAAATATTCTCTTTTGCATCATATGCTGCCTCATCGCCTTTCAAACTTTCCATTTTACATGCAATTTCTCGCTGCCTGCTGTTACATTAGAGTGGTGGTTCAGTAGCTAAATTAGGTGAACTGGTAAAGGCACTTCCAGAATGACTCTTCATGAAAACTGCTGCAACTATTTGCTTAAAATAGACAAATGAGATTAATATCAAAATAGAGTTGCCTTCCCATATTTGTTCATCTGTTGGAGCACAGAACCTCTAGATAAGCTAATAAGAAACAATTTAAATATTCTTCTTAAATATGATAACTTCCAGGTATTTCCTGTTGCATACTGTAAGATGGAATAATAGAATTTGACAAATTTTTAGTCTATTCTTCAATATTGGTCAGTATTTGATTAAAAATAGAAAGTGTTCAGTTCTGTATACAATCTGTATTAAAATACGAGTGTCCTTTTGAACACAACTGCTAGATTACATAATTTTTTTTGTAGCATTTTGTGTGTAGTATCTTGTTTTATAACCACTGTTCTTGAGCAGAAAATATACTGCCTTTTTAAGGTTGCTGCTGCCGCTATGGTTGCAGTATCAAGAACATCTCATGATCTTCTAGATAGCAAATTTAAAAATTAAGCTGATTGCTTTTAATCTGCTCATTTATGATTGAGTTTAGAAAAGTTACTTGGTAGCCTCTTGAAATTCTTTAGGAATGTTAATTTGCTTTTAGAGAAGAACAGACTTGCAAAATGGGCAGGGAGCATGTGCTTCTGTAACATGCACAAACAAACTCTACTCATTTGATGGGAGCTATTTCCATCTGTGATTGCAGCTATAAGCAGTCATTCAGTGGCTACAAAAATACCTTTTTACAGAGGCCCATTTCTCTCTTGCTTTGTAGTAATCTGTTCTTCAACTTAAGGTTAGGTATATACATTTTATGTCAGAAATACACCCCCTGTAATATAGAACTAACTTTAAAGCGAATATATATTATTGTCATTTTGAATAGTAAATTTACCTTTTCTTTTTAATGTGAAAGCATCTAGCATTTTCATGACACTTTTTTTTTTTTTTTTTTTTTTTTGCCTTGTCGGGTTTATTTATTAATCAGGCTATTCGGATAGGTGATTACTGCTACATAAAACTTTTCTATTTGGAATGGTACTAACAGTGCCACTTAGAACTGCAGAATACACACATATTCCTGTCTCATTTTTTTGCACCATTCAGTTTTTGCAGAGAACTTCAGACATTCTTTTAGATTCCTGTGCCGTATCCAGTATTTTTGTTACCTTGTTTATTATATGCTAGCATTTGATATGGAGCTGTATTCTTTTTAGCTGTTTTTTTTTCCTGCAAAGTTTTTTAATTGTTTAGAGGGAATGAGTTTTTCATTTTGAAAAGGAGTTGAAATTATTATATTTGCAGATTGCTGCAAAGGGTGCCTATAGGGAAAATTTAATGATTATTAAAAGCATTTACTAATGTGTCTGCAAGAAGATTTTTTTCCTAGTTCGAAAATTATTTTCTGAACATGTTAGAGCATTCTGTTGTCATGATTTATGCGGCCAAAGTTTAGGACTCAAACATCTCGTTAAGACGGGCTTCAGCAGATTAAATGGTTGTCATGTTTTAGTGTTTTTAGTAAAAATTACTTTCCAGCAGAGATGTTATGTGAGGCTTCTAATTTGTTTTTCTTAATCTCTAGGTTTGTATTAGAGTTCTGTGCATTAATATTTAAGTGAATTTTAAAGATTTTAATATACCATGTAGGTGATACCTGGAAATGACTGTTCAGTTTAATAGAGAGCAATTTCTCTCCTGTTAGAACTAAGAATCTTTAACATTAAGGAGAGGAAGAAACAAAAGGAAAAAACAATTTCCTGCATGGTGCGAAAATAATTTCAATATTCAATTTGCTGGAAAACTGGAATAGATGTCAGCATTCACAATAACATTTAGAAGATGTCTTGTCTTGGCAGATACTTATATGGACAAAGGAGAATATACATTAAAGTAATCCTATCTGTGCCACATTACTGAGCAACGGGGGGACAGCCATGGGAAAGAGCGCGGATGGTGCTAGGGGCCAAGCAGCCGGGCATCAGCTCCTGGGAGTGCCAAAGGTTGGAAGTGTTGGTCACAGGGGCCTCAGTGCTGCTGTGGCTCCTCCTTACCTCTTAGTAATGGCTCTTACTTGAAGAAATTGTGTTAGTTAACAGGTCTGACTTTGTCACCTTTAACTCCCAATTGAGACGTGAGCACCTCAGCCCTTCGTGTGGGACACTTCATGTTGGCTTCCTCTTCTCAATGTTCCTGTCTCCCAGGCTTCACTTTGGGGCTCTGATAACAGCCATGCACCACCCGGTGCTGCCGGCCGAGAGTGGAGGCTGTGCGCTGGCCTACGGCGTCTTAGCCAAAGCGACCCTGTAGCCGCCATTTCACGACCCTGTAGCTGCCATTTTGCCTTTGTGTCAGAGCCTCGTCTCTGTTCCCTGCCTGGTGGGCAGCTTGAAGGTGGTGGTAGCCCTCCTCGATGCAGAGAGGGGCTTGCTTGTGACTCACGGTAGGGTTCAAGCCCCGATTGCCCTCTGTGTGATACCGCTGTCGTGCAAGCTGCTGCTTGCATTTGCACATGACATGGGCAGATGGCACTGTGGGGACTGGAGTGCGCGGCCTCTTCGTGTTGTCTCCATGTTTGTCTTAGATACGCGTTGTAACGCCTCTGATGCTTCTGAGGACAAGGCTAAGAATAATATTTCCAAACATGTTTTGATAAGCTTTTCTTTGAAATGACCTTCCTGCTTTGGGAGTGTGAGCTCTGCAGGCTTCCAAGCAAGCGTCTCATGCAAGAGAAGATTGCATGATAACGTGATGGTTGCGTGGATATCAAACCCTGCATATGAGCAGTTGGAGAAAAAAAAAACCCTCATTCCCTGTTTTTAACTTCTGATGGTCACTTTTATAACTGTAATGATGATTCTTTAACAAGAGGACTGTTAACATCTGCATGCAAGAACATCTTTTACTGTCAGGAGGAATCTGAGATAAATGGGTATGTGCCTATGGGCTTGGATATGGGCGTGCAGGTCACCTTGGGAGACACGCAACCTGTCCTGTATGCTTTCTGCAATAACTTTTCCATTCTGGGAGGTGTGCTGAGAGTGGGAAAGGGGGAAGCACAGCCCGTGGTGGTGAACTCTGTTTGTAGAGGCTCTTCATAACCTCCCAGTTCTGACTTTTTGAAGATACCATGTTGAATCACTGGCATCTTTTTCTTTCTTGTTTTAGGATTAAGCTAAGTCAGTAAGTTACTGAGGGGGAAACTAAGGAATCTTCACCCTTAGTATCTGCCATAATTGTCTGATTACATGTTTTTAAACCTAGAGTAAATGTGTGTTGGCTGCTTCCCTTTGAAAGAATGCCTAGTTGACTTGCCTTTATGCCAGGTAGAGGTTGGGTTCAAGCAGCTGCGGTGGTGATTGCTCCTGTGCAATAAATCTGTGTTAGGTAACTAGCACTCTGCTGTGGGTTTGTGTAGATTTCTTGGGAGCTGCTTGCATGGCTACACTATGGCCTGGACTACTTGTTTATTTACTCATGGTATGACACCTAGATTTTGTTTGCTTTGGTGTGTTTGTTTTTTAGCAAGTACAGAAATACATATATCTTTTTCCTATTTCTTTACAGCTTTTACGAGAGCTGAAGCACCCTAACGTGATTGCGTTACAGAAGGTTTTCCTTTCTCACAGCGACAGGAAGGTTTGGCTGCTGTTCGACTATGCTGAACATGATTTGTGGGTAGGTACAGATTTGCCTGAGTGTTTGAGATACTGTAATACGAGTTTGAACACAGAGACATGTGGGGGGTACGTTCATACAACACAGGGATACATAATTACTAGAGGAGACAGCCAGAAGCTGAAGCATCAAAAGTTCCACAGTAACTTAAGGAAAAATTTCTTAACAGTGAGGGTGACAGAGCACTGGAACAGGCTGCCCAGAGAGGTTGTGGAGTCTCCTTCTCTGGAGATCTTCAAAACCCGCTTGGACGCAGTCCTGTGCCACGTGCTCTAGGTGCCCCTTGCGTGTGCAGGGGAGTTAGACTAGATGATCTCTAGAGGTCCCTTCCAACCTTCAGCATTCTGTGATTCTATGATAATTCTTGTGCTGTGTAATTGAAGGGCTAACTGGACTGTGCTTAGTCTACCTTGATCTTACTTTTGAAACCTACTGAAGGCTACAGAGAATTTTTTAAATGTTAGATTTCATTTTTAAAGCCATAACAGAATTTTCCTAGAAGATTTAGATGGAGTTAAAGAACGTATTCCTAAATTGACTTCTATTAAAATAGAGACTAGAAATGTCCACAATATTTTCTTTTTCTTATGATTTGTGTAAAAAAAAAAAAAAAAAAAAAAAAAAAAAGGTGGGGGGGCTAGGAGATTTGACAGGGTGAGGCTGCTTTACTGACTTCTTTCCCTGACATGTCATGATAGTAACTAATATTCACTCATTAATTTTAAATGGTGAATTTGGGACATCAGTATGAGTGTGGTAAAAATAAAGCACTGGCTGATTGGGCCTGCTGATGTGCTTAGCACTACATGGAAAAGAAGTAGAGACTTCAATGTCAATCTCTAAGTTTCTAGCAAAGTGGGATGGGGTTTGATTTCATCTATTCTAGGGGTAGACATCAGTGACATGAGGAGAACTTGGAGATGTGTACATATATGTATTTTTTTTCAAGCTCTACAGCTATCAGTAAGATGGAAGGTGCTTCAACCTGAGTTTTGGGTTTAAGCCCAAGAGATATCAAACACTTGCTAAGAGTGATAAATGTGTTTATAATTTCTTTGAAAATATTGGCAAGAAGGCATAGTGATAATATTATTGCTTTTTAAGGCTTCAGTCAAATAGAAATTACCATTACTGGTGTTACTGACAAATTGCTTAATTAGTTATACTTAGCTCTCAATAGCTAATGCATGTGTACTTCTCAGTGACAAAAAGGTAACAGTAATCTGAAAGTAAAAAAAAAAAAAAAAACTTAGACTGAGTAAAAAGCTATTTGGCTCAGAACGAATATGGTCAGGAAATTTCATCATTCTTCATATGCTTAAAAACTACTTAATTCGATTTCTCTTGTAGGGTAGCAACTTTGCTTTTTTCAAAGTTGGGCGTACACTGACAGTTTATGTATTTCTCGCAACTGATAACAGAGATGACGAGTATGAATAAAACTCTATGGACAGAATTTAATTTGTTTATGCATCAGATGAATTTACTTTCTAGAGCAACTACAAAAATTTTACTGCTATGTTGAGTGGCAGGTTAAAAAACCCTTTTCTTCCAGCTTTTTCCCTTTTAATTTATTTTGGACTTGTGTTTTTACATTAGATGGTGATTTTTCCACATGATTTAACAGTCCTAGATATGGAATCACTGCAGTTTAATGTTCTTATCACTCCCTACATCTGGCTAGGTTTTGGTAATCAGTATAATTATTTTTTATATATTATTTGATGTTGAATGTTTGTTACGCTAGTTATTTGATGTGAACTGGTCTACTTCTTAACTATCTTTACTTTTTTCTATGGAACATCCTACACAAATCATTTTCCCTCTCTCTGTATACTTGCCGATGTTTCCTTGCTGCTTAAGCCTGTAGAGGATTTTTATTTTTTTCTCCTTTGCATGAAGTTAGCCATATTCAAGGCACCCTTGGTTCTGGCTTAACCTTGGTCCTCATTTTCTTTACTGTCAGCACGTCCCAAGCATCACTCTTAAATTCCCCTTTTGTCTCTTTTGCTCACTCCCAACTTTGTGTCTTTTTCCACGCTGCCTCCTACACATGGAACAGCCTCCCAATTAACGTACGTAAAGATCCTTCACTATCCTCCTTCAAAAAGCTCCTGAAAATCCACTTATTTGGTAACGCATTTCGATATAATAACCACTTGTCATTCTGTCTGTGTTGTGTTGTGTTTTGCATCTCCTGTGCTTTACAGCTTGTGCCCTTTCAGCTCTTTGGGGTAGAGATTTGGTAGGGAATTGGCACATTTTGTTTACTGTTTAGCCCCCTGAGCCCCCTCCTGCTTCCCTGCAACACTCCATGAAAGCAAAATAAGTCTATTTGTTGTGATATCTGTTTGAAAAGATTTAAAATTTGGAACAATAGGTGTGCTCTCACCGGAGAGATGCAAGTTCAGAGACACCAGCAGTTTCAAGTATAGACATCCAAAATTAGTTAACAAAATGTATCGTGAAGTGTTGGAATTGGCCTTGCATTCAAAGCTGCCCAGCTCTACTAACTCTTATTGGCTTCAGCGAGAATAGTAAATGCTCATCACTTATAAACTTCAGATTAATTAAAACCATTAAATTTTGGGCCTCTGTACTGGAAACATTTGGCAAGAGATGAATAAAATGTATTAGATGCTATCTTACTCTGTTCATTTTGTAATGCTGAAAAAAGATGTCTCATTCTAATGAAAAAAAGTGATGGTGCCAATTAAGCTTATTAAAAAGTTCTTTTATAGTGAGCAAGAACTGGTGTTTTTTTTCTTTTTTTACTTTGTATTTAATTCCTAAAGGTCAGACTGCTCAAATCTGAAATTTGAGTATAGATAGCAACATACTTTATAATTTGCTCTTGCTTCTGTTTGTATCATTGCCAAGGGATGAGGAAAGCTATGCTGTTTTAGAATTGCTTTTGACCGTTGCTGATGAAGACTTACTGTGTTGCCCTTGCCCACAAACATTCACTGTTTAGTTACTAAACTTATCAAAGATTATTGTCCTTCATCACCTTTCAAATTATATTATGCAACCATTCATAAAGTTATAGGAAAGAATGTCTAAAATTAAAGCAATTTTTTTGACCAGTGGATTTGTAACGCTTACTTGCTTTTATTTCTGTAATCCTCAGTGTAATCCACAAATTATGTTTTTTTTTGGTTATTAGTTCCTGCCGATTGGTAAAAATTTTTAGGATACTGGATGTGTCACAGATGTTAATTTACAGTTTATTGTCTACACAGTCATCACTGCTTGTATATGCTTATCCTATGAAGAAGTAATTGCAAGGTTCCTTAGCAGTGTAAAAGGAGTATATGACACAAAAATAGAAATGTGTATGTATGCAGCTATTAAGTCTCATGCAGCTACTATTAAGTCTCTCAAACATTACTGGCCATATCCTTTCTTAACTCTGTAACTGGCTTGAATTTTTTCTTATGTTTTTCTTTATAACTTTGCTTTTGTATTCTCATAATTTGACACTTTCGCCATCAGCTGTTCTTAGCTCCAGAACCAAAGATATCTTGTTCCTTTCCAATATTTACTCAGAATGTCTTGAATGCTTTTAATTTAAATTTGATCCAGGTTGCCTGTCTTAAACTTTAAGTAATGTTGAGATAAAAATAGAATTCAGTTAACACACAGTTGAGTTAATCTTAAATCTGTGAGTGGAATTCATGCTATTTTTTGCAGTTTCCTTCTTCCAGTACACACTTACACCTTCACAGTCTTACAAACTACGTGCAGATAAAATCTTACTACTTTAAAAAAAAAAAAAAGTGTAATTCCTCAACTGATATGTCTGTTTTGTACTTATTATTGACCTTTAGAATTTAGAGTTTTTAGACCATCAACTTTTTAATATTGGAAGTAACTTATAAAGCACACAAACTTTTATTTAAATACTGCAAATAAGCACATCAGTCAATATGTTCAATTCCATAGCCTACCTAATTTTTAAATAGAATTCTTGATTCTAAGCAACATTATTGCAAATATTCTGAATTGATGGGATGTCTCCCTCTTCTCGCTATGGTATGGAATTAATTATTGGAATCATTTAATAGTTATGCACAATTTTAAAGCCTAAAATCTACTGTTCTGTGTATCTATTGTTACCGCCTTCTCATATGCATTTAATTTTTGTCCCAATATATTTTTTTTATGGCTATAGTTGATTAAATAGGTTATTAAAATGATTTGGTAATGTTTAATGTGATGATACATTCATTATCTTAAGACCCACTAAACCATGATTGTGGATATTTTTTGGCTTGATAAAAATCTAGTATGAGACACATTTTAAAGTGATCTCTAGCAAGTAATTTCAGTAGCAAATAGCACTGAAAAACTTGGAGTAAAATTAATTTTGAAGCTAACCTTGATGCCAATAAAAATACAGACAGATACTGGTTTTGTGTTGTATGGAATATTTGTTACACAGATTTTGCTTTTTAAAATTTAGATTAGAGGTTATAAGCATAGGCATGTGTACTTGAAAATAATCTTTATGAAGTAATAAAAAGGGGAAAATATTCTTGCATATGAATTTCATAAAACTATAAGACTGTCTTGTTATAGAAATAGAGGTGCTTAATTTCAGTTAAAAATGTTTTTAATTACGTTCTTCTATGATAAATGAAGTGACATTAAATCATATTACTGTTTTCTAATAGATTGAAGTTTTGAAGTTGTCTTCAAATCTGGTATAATCAGCTCTAGTTCTTACTCTAGATATCAGTTTAGCCTGAATTATTATGAGGATAATTCGAATGATATTTTTATATAAACATGAATAATTTTCTCTAGGTAGCAGTTTTACTTTTTTCTTTTCCTTTTGTGTAATCCTGTGTGTGTTTTGTTTTATTCCAGTTCCATACCATTAGGTGATTCTTGGTGCAGCCTTCCCTGATGGATATTTTTGCCATTACAGAAATTTTCTGGCAGGCAGGGTAGCAGAGGATTTGCTGAGGAAAAAGGAATTGGGGTGGGCTTTTGCT